TATTAGATGCTATACTTCTGAAACTTGCTTGGTGTGAGGCATCAGCTTATACTAGTCCTACTAAATTCAAAATTTCTATCTTTCTCTTCTTGTCCCTGGTCCATACCTTCAATACCTCTCTCTTTTTCTCTGAATGAGCAAACTACTGCTAAGCAGTGTGGCTAGGACCTCTCCCGAAGCCTTAGTGGCTGCCCCTGTCAGTTTCTTGGGTTGTGAAAGCCAAGCATTAAGCTTAGAGCCCAACCTGGAAGTGTGTTTGACTAGGATCTGCATTCCACATTCCTAGCTCTAGAAAGTAGGTGTGTATGCTACCACAGGCATGTTTACTTAGCTCACCATTTTTATTTAGTTCTGCCAGCTGAATAGAAGTACCTCTTAAAGGAACTGTGTTCTTTTTCCTTTTCCTTTTTTTTTTTTTTCAGCTTTCTTGGCCTCTAGGTGGATATTTGAGTCTTATGTTTGGATGCAAAAATGTAGTTGGTACTTGTTTTTTTTTACTCTTTGGCTCTTTGGGTGCCTGCAACCTAACTCCCAAATAAATACACACAGTCCTACTCTTGTTTATGAATGCCCAGTCTTAGTTTGGCTTGCTTCTAGACAGCTTTTTGTAACTTAAATTTTCACATCTATCTTTTGCCTCTGGGCTTCTGCTTTTCTATATACCTTTCTTTGCTTCTTACTCTGTGCCTTGCTGTGTAGCATGAGTTCTAATAGGTATTAATAATAACAGCCTGGAGTCGAATGTTGGGGAAAATGCTGAGAGATCGGAAAGATGAAGGAGCAAAACCGCAGATACCTTTCCTACTCAACTTCCCAGCCAAAAAGAGAATGAGCTCCTGTCTCTTCCCACCTTATCACTCTCTCTCACACCCAGTCATATCACTTCCTGTCGGCCTGTATAGACCTCCAGACCTCTACAGTTAGCTAGAGGCTAACTCTGCCATCTGATCTTCAGGCAAGCTTTATTTGTACAAACAAGCTATCACCACATTGCTGTGTAGCTTGGTGGTGTCCCCTGCTGTCTCCCCCTTTTCTCTTCTCCCGCTTCCTTCTTCTCGTATGTATTCTCTCTGCCTGACAGCCCCACCTATTTCTTCCTCCTGCCTAGCAATTGGCCATTCAGCTCTTTATTAGACCGAGCAGGTGTTTTTGACAGGTACAGTAACACACCTCTCGAGAGTTAAACAAATGCAACATGTCTTTGCATCATTAAACAAATATCCCACAGAATAAACAGTTGCAACACATTTTAAAATAATATTCCATAACATTTAACAGATTTACAATAACTTCCATCTATTAAATATTTCCTTTTGACCTCTATGATTGGTCTCCTGAATGATAAACACACAATCAGCTTTCACGTCCTTCCATAGCTGTTTCATCAGCAAAAGTCAGCCTAATGCCCTTCCCACGTGGCCTTTGGATAGGGAGAGAAGGCACATTTAGCTATCCTTTCATTTCAGGGTTAAAACAGTCATGGGCCTGTCTTCCTTGGCAGTGAGAAGGTACTCAGTGAACTGAGGTCTGATGTCTCACATCCTGGTAACATCTTTTTGTGAAGAAAATATTAGTGAGATTGGTTGTCTAAATAGTATCTTATACAATCTTAAGTCTAATGTCTGTGGTGTGTGATCCCTTGGGTTGTTGCAAATTGTCTTAGTATTTGGTTAAGCATTCCTGCTGATGCTGAAGACCATGCAGGTGGCCAAAATTATTTTTTCTTTCTGTGTTGTTGAGCAACTCGTCCTCAGGAGTCACTTGGGCTTGAGAGGACTCTCAGGTTCCTCTAGCCTTTCTTTTATCAGCTATCCATCAATGCAAGGATAAGTCAAAGGTTTTGCTTTATGTACTGTGGTTTTCTATGAAACACTGAAGAAAACATTCCCACACTGACCTTCCTTTTTGTAGACTGGACAATGTTTCAAATTCATTAAGTGGGGTCTCTATATTGTCCATGAACATGACAAATGATAGATGCCCTTAAGCCCCGGGATATCATATAGACCTGTAGGGAAAGGGGAGAGATATTCTTCCTTTTAGCCCCTCTAGCCACATTAGAATAACCTCCAAAAATGATTATGAAACATGCAGAAGATCAGGTTTACAGCAGTTTGGTCCTTTTAATGACTGTATACTATTTCAATAGCCAGACATAACTCAATAAACTTTTGTTTGATATATATTTTAGCCAGTTCTTGAAATAGTTGATATCTCACCTTATCAACTTTAATACAATATATGATCTCTAAATCTCATCCTTTATGTACCTTAGACAACTTACTCAAGCCTTCACAACTTGCTTAAGCTTTCTAGCATTTTTCATTCTGGAATCATCTAATCATTACACCTGCTTATATCTAAGTCTTCCTTTACTAAGGCCATTTCCATATTTGAAATTTTGAACATGTGTCTTTACGTACTGGTTCCTTTTCGTCATACCATGAGATATAGGCACATTAACAGATACAGTTATGATCATTTGTGAGACATTTCTCTCCAGTGGAGAGAGACAAAACAATGTTTATTCCATTCCCCATAAGTCCCGATGGCATTGCAAAGTACAAATTCACTAAAGTCAACCCTGGAGGAGCCAATGAGTTTATTGAAATTAATTACTGGACATTTTAGGAAGACAGTTACAGGAGTTTGGATACTATGGTGATTTGAATCAAAATGGCCCCCATAGTCCATAGGGAGTGGCACTATTAGGAGGTATGGCCTTGTTGGAATAGTTATGGTCTTGTTGGAGAAAGAGTGTCAAAGTCACTTCCCCCTGTATGCTTATCTGTATGTAAAACTCTAGGTTATTTTTCCAGCACCATGTCTGCCTGCAAAGCACCATGCTTCCCACCATGATGATAATGGACTAAACTCTCTGAAATTATAAGCCAGTCCCAATGAAATGCCATCCTTTATAAGAATTGTCATAGTCATGGTGTCTCTCCACAGCAATAGAAACTCTAACTAAGGCAGATACCCAAAATCAGCCTCACAGAATGTCTCCACCCATTATGTACAACGGCTCTCCCACACCTGCCTGTGTGGAGCTCAGCGTCTCTCTAGTCTCTTACTGCCCATTACTTAGCATTACACTACATTTCTCAATGTATATAGGACGTAAGCTTGATAGCACTCAAAGTGTGTTTCCACTTTTAAGATAACTTTCTCATAGACGCATATGCAGAATCCACCCATTCCCAAGTCTTTCCCAGGCTATGTCTATAGCTCCTTCCCAATCCACAAGGTTACATGTTGTTAGGACCGAATTGTATATAGGTGCCTGGGAAAGAGCTGTTTGCTCAGATGGAGGGGAGACCTAATTCCATGATGGAATATCAATGGTCAGCAGACCTGGTGATGTTCATCCTTTGTCAGCAGGCACAGCTGATCACAGGAAGTGATGATTGCTTGTCTTAAGATAGTACTGAGCAACAACTAACTAAAAGACAGTTGAATAGAAACTATGTATAAGATAATGTAATAAATTACTATTTTCTAGGTTCAATCTCTTAAACTAAACCTTAGAGAATCTCTTAAACTTAAACCTTAGAGAAAACACAAGACAGTCTTCATATAATACATGACATCACTACTATAACTATGCTTTTGTTTTACAATGGGTCTATATAGGCAATACAAAGATACAACAAATACATAACAAAACACCATGAAGTTGATGTTTACAGTATCCAGTACAACAGAAGTAAAAAAAAAAAAAGTCCTTCTTGAAACTCTGATGTTCCAGCTAACTTACTATAATGAGATAGTTACACAGAGGATCTCTCTATCCTCTCCATAGTGAAAAGTTTTTGCACCCCGTTAAAACTCTATGCCAATGCAAGAATCCAAATCAGACCGAATCAAACTGAATTATAAAAAGCCCAGGTTTAATGGATATCAATGCTCCCTGGTGGCTTTCCAGCCCCCCCCCCCCCCGCAAGGAAGACGGGGAAGGAAGACGGGAAAAACACATGTTTGTTATCTGGGAAGCAGTTTAAAAACCCTGTGGGAGTAATCTCGAGCATCTTTGGAGAGGGGTTATCATTTGGCAGGCTTTCTAGGAAGTGGAATCTGGACTGAGGCAACTCCCAGGGGAGGGGGCTTGGGATGGAATTTCCACCAAAACATTCCAGACTCTTTGGTTATATGGATGTCAGGGGCTGAGGTGAAGATTCCACCCAAACATCACAGAGTCTTTGGGTATATGGATGTCAGAGGCTGAGGAGAAGCTTCCAGCCAAACATCCCAGACTCTTTGGTTATATGGATGTGAGGGGCTGAGGTAAAGCTTCAACCCAAACACATAGATAAGCATCCCATTACCTGTTTTTACTACAGACATGTGACCAATAACAATATACATAAAAGGTGAATAAACATTTACATCTTAGCATCCTAATCTCTAGTTAACATACTAATTTTTGTATTTTAGAGGCAGCCCTCCCTTAGCTGAATGCCTAGCTTGAAGTGCAGAGCTTCTAGAAAATACTTGAGAAACTAAGCCTCTCCAAGTTTGACAACTTGCCTAGGCCCCGAGAGTTCCTCCAAGGCCCTGATATATAGAGAAAGAAACAGAGCTCCTTCTCAAAAACCTGGAATAAACTTGGGAGAGCTGGTAAATATCTGGGCCCAGGGTCTGTGGGAAGGGGTTGCTTCAGATCCTGAGAATCTAACTCTTTCTATACATGAGGCTGTGATTATCATCCCAATGGCACTGTGGGCTTTGTTTATAATGTTTTTGAGATACCCTGTGTTCCTCTTGTGTAACGTTGTCGAACTAGCCTCTTACCAATTGGTATATATTAACAAGAGACTTGCTGTTGTTTGGTGCAAATCTCCAGTCAATCTGTGCCTGTGGTAGAAACCAGGGCTGGGAATCATTGTGTCTGATCCTTTCAGCTCACCCAGTCCTGTCTCTTAGACCTCACCAGCCAATCAGAGCCATCAGCAGACCCGCCAGTAAGGTGGGAGTGTTCTTCCGGTTGCCAGGCGGCTAGCTGAGCGCCTATGCTGAGAGAGTAGGACGTTTGCTTGTGTGTTCACTTGTGGAGAGAGCAGTAAGCGATATAAGCAGCGGCGCCATGGTGAGTGAGCGGCCTCGGTCCCCAGACAGAGAGGAGCGGCGGGCCATAGTGAACGAGGGGCTGCTCTCCCCAGATGAGTAGGAGCGGAGGGCCATAGTGAGCGAGGGGCTGCTGTCCCTAGATGGGGAGGAGTGGCGGGCTGATCCTCAGGAGTCGGTGAAGTGGGTCTTCCCCTGGCTGGGTAGGAGCCAGCGGCCAAACAAAATTCGGCCTGGCCCTGTGTGCCCTGTGTGGTCCTTGCAGCTGCCTGGGCTGGGCAGCAGCCTCTGAATACCTTCACTCTGCCGGCTGCATCTGTGCAGGGCAATGGTGCTTCAGTTGTTGACGTCACTATGAAATGCTGGCGCCGGTAGTACTTGTCGCTAGGGAAGGCAGTTGTCAAACTCAGAGAGCCCTGGTCTCTCCGGTATCCTCCATAAGTTCTTGCACATTTAGCGTTTAAGTGTAGGATCCGTCTGGAGTAATTTTGTGGAGTTTGTAAACGGTGTCTCCTGTGTAGAGTAGCACTCCACTGCTAAACCGTGATGTAGAAGAGTAGAATTGATGGTAATAGAGTTGATGGTATAAGGATTTCTTAATTCTTTCAAGACTTTAAGTCACAGAAACTAGAATTTAGGTAATACCCCAAAGATAAATACTATGCCAATCATACCTGTTAGAGATTAAATTAATAAAATGTAAATGTTTGTTCACTGGGATTATCCAGGGGTTAAGCTACATCCCCATAACAGAGGAAACAGCCCTGATTTACAACCTGCCTAAAGTCTCCCACCCCTATCAAAGACCAGGCCTCTAACACTCTGCTCAAGAGGCCTTTACAGGGTCACAACCAACATTAAGTCCTGCTGTGCCATAAAGATACATTAATTCTAGAACAACCACATGTCCAGTCTTTTTGAAAAGTGGTTTTAAGTCAAGTTCTCATGTGTTGATTGAGGTGAACTTGAATCCTGTCTGTAGCCCCACAGGGCGTTGCCTTTACTATCTCCCTGACTGACTATTCTTAATCCTGGGATTAAAGGTTTGTTGCACCACAGAGTCCTAAAATTATCATCTGGAGTCACATAGTGCAGTGTCCATCGCAGTAACAAGGAATGGATTTGCATAGGGAGCATGGCTTCTCCCTTCAGATCAGAAGAGGAGGAACAGTGGTCCGTGCAGACTGCAGGGTGAAACAGACTAGACAACAGCTAGATCCCAGGCTGAAGTTTAAGGCAGTGAGCTGCAGGGGTCTCCATCATAATGAAGGATCTGATCGGGCAGGGCGAGTGACCTTCTGTGCAGTTTTCCAGCATGTATTAATTTCTTCCATGTGAATAAAGACAGACAGAATTGGTGGGTGCACAATTTAGGGAGCTGTAGCTTGAACTACTGGTTATTCAGTTTCCAGTTAGGGTTCTCTTCTATGCAGATATGTGCAGTTCCTGATGACACAGTTAGGTCAGCTCAGAGGTTTGAGACACAGGCCATTCATTGTAAATCTGTGTCAGCTAACACTTTACATGAGACAAAATCATGCAGTGTCTTATTAATGGCCTTCTCTCTACCAGGGAAGTGACTACTCTGTTCCAAAGTCTGTATACCTAAGTATCCTTCCAACTATTTATCACTTTAAAAAGTTATTTAAGTATCAGTATCATTTTTTAAATTTCATTTTCTTTAAATGCATTACTGCTATAATATCTATTTCTTTATATTTTCCAGTGTTTGTAGTCATTAAGAATTCTATTCCACTTATTTCATAAGATTTGTTTGTTTGTTTGTTTGTTTGTTTATATCAATTTAGAGCAACAGTTCTCATCCTGGAGAGGTCAGGGCTCCCTTTGGAGTATCAAATGACCCTATCATAGCAGTGGCCTAAGACCACTGGGAAACACGGGTGTTTATATTACAATTCATAACAGTAGCAAAATTATAGTTATGAGGTAACATCAAAAATAATTTTATGGTTGGAGGGGGGCCACTACAGCATGAGGAACTGTATTAAAGGGTCACAGCATTAAGAAGTTTGAGAACCTCTGGTTTAGTTCAATGTCTCCTGTAGGTCAGTCTTGCCTCACACTATGTAATTGAGAATTGCTTTGAACACTTAATCCTGCCTCTGCTGTCCAGTGCTGGGAGGACAGTCCTGCCACTTCTTCCAGGCTGGACCTTTATTGGTTTGTGAGAAGGAAAAATAGACCAGCGAATGAGTATCCTCCATCTTCTCTAGATTACACTGCAAATTCACAAATGAAGTAGGACGTGTGTAAGAACTGGGTTTGCTGACCAGCTGAAAAGTAGGCGTAATCAAAGCACAGATAAGGATGGGCAAGAAGGAGGGTAAAGCTTTCCTGATTTGACAGTAGTTGACAGTAGTAATGAGTAGTGAGGTAATCAATTTTGGATGATCTAGCAATGTCCTAACTGGTCATTTCTTCCATCTACATACCAGGCAATCAAGAACCTGGATAAAGAACTGAACTTTCATGAAACCAAATTACTGTAGTTACACTAGTTCAACCAAAATGGAAGAACTAGATAAAATGGTGTGGCCCTGCCTGTCATGGCTGTGTTTTCCAGGTTGAAGATGTACGACCTGAGAGGAGAGGCATGAGTAGTACTTGGAGTGCTCTAGTAGAAATCCCTGGAGCTCATGACCACAAAGCCTCTTTCAGATTTTTAACATAATTTTGTGGGATTATAATTAACATCATTTCCAGTATCTCTTCCCTGCCCCTCAAACTTCCCAAGACCCTTCATTTTTTCTAATCCATTTTTTCTAATCTGTTAGCTTTAACAGCAGTTACTGTTTGAATGTGGCCTGTGTTTGTCTGCAGGACCTCTGAGCTATGACGCAAAGGGTTGGCTGCACTGGACGTTGAGTGTGCAATGGAATGTGCACAGAAAGAACCCTGTGCCTTGGAGGAGGAACAGAAAGTGCTCTGGGAGAATGGAAGATTCTACTGAACTACAAGTTTCCCAGAGTAGAGCCTTTCTGACCCTAGGGAGGAAGGGCAGTGCTAGGAAGGCCTGTGCTGAGTCAGTTGATCTTGCTCACCCAGTAGGGTACCCTCTAATATTCTGAGGCCCAGCTGGGTGGTCTTAGCTAATGAGGGACTTTGGAAGGCATAGCAATCAGGAGCACCATTGGGAGGTAGCCCACAGGTTCTTTCCAGGATTCTCCTCCAGTTCTGCTGTAGAGAGCCCTAAGGAAGGCCACAAACCATGCCATGGTGAGTGTGGGGGCCACTGTCCCCAGACCAGGGAGAGCATGTTAGGTGAGTTATCAGAGTCTGAGCTGCAGAGACTTGCTGTACCATGAGGTGTGTTTCTTGTATGCAGTAGAAGGATGGGTTCTATTTTTTTATCCAATCTGTTAGCCTGTGTCTTTTTATAGGTGAGTTCAGTCCATTTATATTAAGGGATATTAATGACCAGTGATTTCTATCTCCTGTTAATTTCATTTTCATTGTTGGTGATGTTAATTGGTGCATTTTCCCCATCTTTGGGATTTGCTGCTATGAGACCATCAGTTGTCTGTGTTTTTGTTGATGTAACCAACTTTCTTGGGTTGGAGTTTTCCTTCTAGTATTTTGTGTAGGGCTGGGTTTGTAGCTAGGTATTGGTGAAATCTGGTTTTGTCATGGAATATCTTGTTTTGTCCTTCTACAGTAATTGAGAGTTTTGCTGTTTATAATAGTCTGGGCTGGCATCCGTGATCTCTTAATATCTGCATAACACTTGACCGCGACCTCTTGGATTTCATTGTCTCCAATGAGAAGTCAGGTGTAATTCTGATAAGTCTGCCTTTATATGTTACTTGGCCTTTTTCCTTTGCATCTCTTAATATTCTTTCTTTATTCTGTATGTTTAGTGTTTTGATTATTGCATGGCGAGGGAACTTTTGTTTTTATCCAGTCTGTTTCGTGTTCTGTAAGCTTCATGTATCTTCATAGGCATATCTTTCTTTAGGTTGGGATAGTTTTCTTCTATGATTTGGTTAAATATATTTTCTGTGCTTTTGAGTTGAACTTCTTCTATACCTATTATTCTTAAGTTTGATCTTTTCATGGTGTCCCATATTTCCTGGATATTTTGGGTTAACCTTTTGTTAGATTTAATGTTTTCTTTGACTGATGAGTCTATTTCCTCTATTTTATCTTCAATGCTTGAGAGTCTCTCTTCCATCTCTTGTATTCTGCTGTTAATGCTTACATTTGTTGTTCCTGATCATTTTCTTATGATTTCTGTTTCTATAATTCCCTCGACTTTTTTTCTTTATTGTCTCTATTTCAGTTTTCAAGTCTTGAATAGTTTCTTTCTTATGCTTGATTGCTTTTTCTTGGTTTTCTTTAAGGGATTTGCTAATGTCTTCCAATTTTTTGTTTTTCTCCATTTCTTTGAGGGAATTTCTCATTTCCTCTTTAAGAGTTTCAAACACTCTCCTGAAGTTATTTTTTAGGTCATTTTCTTTTGCTTCATCTATATTTGGTTGTTTAAGTCTTGCTGTTGTAGAGTCTCTAGATTTTGCTGGTGTCATGTTGTTCTTTGTGGTGTTGCATGTGTTCTTACCTTGTCTATTCAGCTTTTCCGCTTATTGGTGTCGTTGGGGCTGTCTGCGATTCTGGTGATTAATCTTCTACATACCAGTGAATCCAATGCTCAGATGCTTGTTCCTTGTTGTACGGTCAGTGTCACAGTTCTAGTTACCCTATTGGTCACTCCATGTTCTTGGAGGTTGCTCTGCTCTTGTGGAGTTTGCTGTCTCAGGCCTGCTGTGGCCTAGGTTGTCGGCTCAGACTTGTCTGGCTCCACTCCTGCAGAGGTCCCTGGCTTGGTGTTGGTCCTGCAAAGGTCTCTGGCTCTGGTCTACTGCCTCGGAGTTCCAGACTCAGGTGAGCCCAGACCTGCAAAGGACCTGGCTCAGGCTTACTCCGTCAGAGGCCCCAGACTCATGCCTGGATCTCTAGAGATCTCTGGTTCCTGCCTACTCCCTTGGAGGTCCCAGACTCATGCCC